AGAAAAGGTTTAAAGAGCCAGAGAGAACATGTGACAAATAGTCAGAATAAAAATGGAGATAGAAAGAAAATCTAGAAAAAAAAGCAAGAAGAAAAAGTGAAAAATAAGGGATTATCCAATTCATTTGATTCAGTTACTCTTAGTTTCACTTTTGATAGTTTTCTTGTCAATCTCTATTGAAAGAACTCATGAAAATCACCAGATTACAATTTGCAATAAGTAAAAGTAAATTTTAAATTTGTTTTACCCATGTTAAAAATTAAAAACAAATCCAAGACAACAAGTAAGAAAAACAAATATTTACATTACGTACATTTGAACTAATGTCCTCATCTTTATCATTGTCATCACTCGATCACATTCTGTTTGAATTTTTGGCATGAGGAGTTATCATTACTTACATTTGGACTAATATCCTCATCTTTTTTGTTATTATCATTTGATTGCCTTCTGTCTATATTTGAGAAACCTATTTTCCAGAAAGACTTTTAACAGGAAGATTTTATAAATTTCAACTGGAAGTTGCACTGACTGTTCGATCAATGAATGCCAAATGTTTCCTTATAAGGAAATGGCTAATATTGCCATTACCATTTGAGATACAGAGAACAGATACTACACATTGATTCCAGCTCAATGACTACGGAGTGACACAAAACCTAACTGGAGTAGTACTGTCTGCTCAGTCAATGAATGCCAAATGTTTCCTTATAAAGAAATGCCTAATATTATCATTACAATTTGAGTACAGATACTACACATTAATCATAACCTGATGACTAGGAAGTGAAGCAAAACATAACTTGAGCAGCAATGGATGCTCAATCAAATGCTGAATGTTTCCTTATAAGGAAACAGTTAATATTACCATTTGAAATGAGAAGAGATACTACACTTTGATCCCAGTCCAATGAGCTGCGCTGTCAATGAATGCCAAATGTTTCCTTATGAGGAAACAAATAATATTAACATGAGAGATGAAGAGATAGATTCATGCCTTTCAGACTATTTAGAAATCTGAACTCGGTTCACCAATTCAACTTTCTGCATCGACAGTCATTATACTACCAGTACATGTCACTTGCAAACTTCACTGGTCTGTGATCAATATTCAAAGGAAGCCAATAATACCAACAGCTGTTAAGATCAAATCGCTTTTGCACCAAAGCAGCTATAACTTGCAAAATCCAAGTGCTGTTTGATAAAATTAATATTTGATAGCTTTCAATGATTTATTGTAAATGTTCATGCCAAGAAGCAACTGAAGAGAAATGATATACTGAGATATAAAACACCGGGGTTCAGTTATTTGAGGCAAATTTCTTTTTGTGTTCAGTAATGCTGCACTGGTAATTTGGCATGAATGATAGAAATTAAAGTGATACATCACTTTCTATATGAATTATAATGACAGTTCAACTACAACTATTTTTAACAGTATCCTGTATACAAGTATCTAGTATGCTTTCTTTCCACTACCCAACAAAAAATTAATTTCTTTGTATTAGAAACAAAGGAGAGTGTTAAACTGCTTTATAATATCAATCCTTCTCTATAGCAGTAAATGTCGGACAATCTCCTCACATTGAAGAGGAAACTGGAGGCAAAAGAAATATAGTTCTATATAAGAACCCTGAGAATATCCTTGACACAAAAATATGAAATGTGAAACAAGAATACAAAGACAATTTGAAAAAGCATGCCTTCAAAAAAAAAAAAAAAAATGAAGAAACAAAAAAATTTAGTTAGAAACAAAAAAGAGAGTTATTAATTGTTATGTAATGTTGGTCTTCTTGCACAACAGCAAATTCTGGGCAATTTCCTCATAGCTGAAGAGGAGACTTGAGGCAACAGAAATAGGGTCCTACAAAAGGGTGCTGAGAATTTCATGTAAGAAACAAGAAAGTTTTAATGAAAATGAAAAACGAATCAGACATGGAAAGTTGAAATTTCTAGGACACATTATAAGGAAAGCAGGCTTGAAGAATTTGACACTCTCAGGATATGAAGGGGAAAAAAAAGTTAGATAGAAATAGCAAGTAACCTACCTAACAAGCTTGTGTGAATGAATGGCAGAACATTGCTAAGAGCTACAAAGAATAGGAAGGTGTGGAGAGCTATGATTTCCCACATCCCAAAGGGACACAGTATATAGAAAAAGAATAAGAGACAGATGCAATGTTACTAGATTGTTGCTGTTTTACCACTATTTTCATGGCAAAGGTACAGACGAACTACATTCCTTGGTTCTGCCAGTCTAGACTTTTACAGTTAGGAGACAACAAGCATACACAGAACCAACTTATCCTGATTCCCTTCATATCCCATTGATAGCAAGTTCCACTCAGACAGCAGCAATATGGAAGGAACTCCCTAGGGGATACTTCCCTAATCACCATGTCTTCATGTCTAAAGTCAGCTGTTGTCTCTCCCATACATCTTTTATTCCCTCTCTATACACCTATGCATCACCATTCAGTAGACGTCAAGTGTAACTTAGGCATTATAATGAGTAAACAATTGTTTTAAAAAAAAAAGAAAAAAAAAAGAAAAAAGACATCTTACAAACATTTTTATTATTCAAAATAATTCAGCAGATGATATTATTTTACTAATTTGAATTATTTTCTCATTTCTTAATTCAGCAAACTTACCGTATTTTCACTTATTTAAATAATTCTCTATAGAAAATCTAATTACATTGATTATTCTGACTTATCTGAATAATTCCATAATTTTTTCAGCTCTACTTGAGTAATTTGTATTAATGTGAGATGGCAGACTACAATATAAGATGGTAACTAAAGTTGCTGCACCTAAAATTACAGAATTCTGTAAAAACTTAATACATTCCAAATTATTTATGTCTGCTAATTGAAAAAAAAAAAAATAATAATTAAAAGGTATTATTTCCAGAAGCCATGATTACATTTATTTTACAGTTTCTTTAAATGCAAACACTGGTTTTTGACAAAACCGATATAAATTCTTTCCATACCAATATGATGAATTTAAAAATCAAAATTTATGAACAGAAATATTGCTTATGTATGGCAATTTTAAAAAATTTGAATAAAAAATGAATAACAGATGAACTACTTTTTGCATGCAATTAAGATTGTTATGCAAATGAAATATTACCGCTTATGTTATCTGATTGATCAATCCGTTTTTTACAGCTTAACCATTTGCAGGTTATTTAAAGCCAGAAAATATTTTTAGATTGTAAGAATATTTTTTTTGAGATAATAATGGTTTAGTGATAAAAGTCATACTAATTAGAAATTGGGAGAGAATAGGTGAATTTATACCTAATCAGAATTTGATAAACAAGAAATTATAATGCAGATATAAAATGTAGGATCAATTCTATTTTACAATCAATGTATAAACTGATCCCTCACTTTTTGGCCACAGTAGTTTCTATACATTTATATTCCAGAGAATGTAAATAAATCTAAAAGACATGATTGTATAACTAATCAGTATTTGATTGATTCATTTGTTTTCTAAGTCTTATCAACCATTTAATAATTCTTAATAATTTAGCCATAGGCAGGGGGAGGGGGGTGGATTCATACCTTTGCCAAGGGTATTTATACATGTTAATATAACAAATCCAACAAGAATTGGAACTCAGCATTCAGATAAACAATTCTGAGACATTATTCACTACACCATCCACACATCCAAGTTTAGAGCATCCAGAATCCCCAAGCTGTCACCCATCTAGTTACTGACCAGGCTCAACGTTGTTTAACTTCATCATACATGAACCGGTGTTTCAACATGATTTGGCCTGAAGCCTGCTTATGCTGTAAACAACATTCTTTTAATATATATATATATATATATATATATATATATATATATATATATATATATATAAATAAAAGACTGACAATAAATTTGTGGTATGAGCTGAGCTATTTTGTTCTACTGATGTAAGGTGGGGATACAAACATAAAATTTAGCCCAACACGAATTTATAAATGACATAACAGTGGAAATCATTTAAAACAAAACAGTAATAAGTGAAATACTTCAATATGCCACATTTAAAAAAAAAAAAAAAAAAAAAAAAAAAAAAGGAAGGAACAAAAATACAAGTCAACATAACCAAAGTTTTTGCCCAATGTCATTTGGTTTCAATTAAATTCTGGATAATCACTCATGTAATTATCCATAGTTGTTGAAATCTATCAGGATTTTGTTTTACACACATAGTATCTGCATCCTGTGTGTAACCATCTTTGTACAGCTTCAGGTGAATAGGTTTTGAATTCAAAATTGTCTTTCTCCTAGTCTGGTTTCTAACCATCACTAGAGAGGTCATTCAGCTATTTAACCTATAGCTGGAGGTAGATGAGATGAACCCATACCTTTCTCAAGGGTATTTTTGCACAAGTAAATTTAATGAACTCAACTGGAATTCAAACTAATCTTGCTGATTTCTCATTCTAGGCCACTGACCATTAGATTACCCACACATCCTTTAAGAAAGTTTTAATTGGATAATCTGTCGAGTTTCAATTTTGAAATGCTTTTAATGGGAAGTGTTAAAAGTGCCAAAGTCTTTTGGCTAGCTAATGTTATACATTGGTCATAATTCTCATCATAATTACTTATATATATATATATATATATATATATATATATATATACACTAATTTGTTTCTCTTATAAATTCATATGAATAAAAATGGTAACACTATTTTTCCTTCAACCATTTCAACAGTAAGAGGTTTGATTGATTTATTTTGTTTTTTTGCTGGTTATTTAAAGCTAGAAAAAATTTTGCATCGTAAGAATTTTGGGGAGATAATAATGATTTACTGATACAGGTTCTACTAATTAACACGTAGCAGGTGGAAAAGGAGGTGGATTGATACCCTTCCCCAAAGGTATTTGAACATGTGAATATAACAAACTCAACTGGAATTGGAACTCAGCTCCCTGATCTGCAATTCCAAACCATTATCCTTTACACTACACACAAGCTTACAGTACCTGGTATTCACAAGTGGTCACCCATCTAGGTACTGACTGAGCTCAATGTTGCTTAACTTCAGTGATATGAAAACCAGTTGTTCAACATGATATGTCTGTAAGCTCAACAGGAAGAAGATAGTATAAATAATTAGCTTCTAATTGAATATTTGAGTTATAATTACTTTGACATAAATCAAAGATCAACAAATGAAACAAATGAATTCATCACAAGTAGCACTTTTTATCAGAGAGTTTATGTCTGAGGTAAATACAATAACAACAATGTACATGATGCATTCAGCTAAAGAAGGTTGTACAATGGATTGGCTAATATCTTCTAATAAATTATTAAATATCAAGATTATGCAAAGAAAGAAAGTCCCTTAATTGTTGGTTGGGTTTTATAGCATATCAACCACTGTAGGTCATTTAATTTAATATATATATATATATATATATATATATATATATATATATATATATATATATATATATATATATATAAATATTAAATGTACAGTACTATTAAACATATAGCATTATCTTTTCAAAAACGTATAGCTGGCAACATTATTTTTCCGAGAACATATCTGAGGCCTTGCTGTTGGACGTAGTTTATCGCCATACCCAGGACGCGGATGTAGTTTATCGCCATACCCAGGATGCGGATGTAGTTTATTGCCATACCCAGGACACGGGTAAGATCTGGAAAAACTAGGAGTTCACAATTTTCCCATAGTTGGGACCCTAACAGGTGCTACCACCCAGGGTCAAGGTGGACCAGGGAACACCAGCAATTAAGAGGTGGTTCCACACTCCTGAAAACCTCCTGATCAGAGGCCTTGCTGTTGGATGCAGTTTAACCTCATACCCAGGATGACTTAATTGTTGGATTTTACAAACAAGCAGAAGTTATTATGCAATAACAGTATGGTGATTTCCTAAGAGTAGCTTAGATGTGGCACAAGGCTGAAAGTATGGAGCACTCAATGAGGATTAAACTCAGTATTCATTCATAATTGATCAAACAAGACAAGCTTCCACCACATCAAAATGTTCAAAACTGATTTTTTTGAACATAGCTTAAATATGGAACAAAGCCAAAAGTATGGAGCCCCCAATGAGGATCAAATTCACTATTCAGTCATTGATTTAGTTTTTTTTTTTTTTTTATCACAGTATGATGGAGTTAAGTTAGATACAATACTAGAAGTCTATTATGTCTGGATAAACATTAGCCTACTATATATAAGCTCTTAATATTTTTTAATCATTCTTTTAGGAAAAAGTGGTATGTCTTTATATATAATGCTCATTCAATGCAATATAGAGATTACAAATTCACAATTTTATTATTTATACTGCTTCTATACCATTTTGTGACCAAATTAAAATATTATCACAAATTTGCTACTGTGCTAGAGTTTACATCTCTTACAACAATTTTAAGAACATTAGTTATCTATTTTCTAACAAACTACTTTAGGTTTAATTTACTTAGATGACTAATACCAGTCTCTGATCATCTAGATTTTTGAAGGTGCACCCATACACTGTTGTATTATCTGCATAAATATTTACTAGATCCCATGTGTGTTCTTAGGCAGATCATTAATATAAAGCAGAAGAGGGTGGGTCTGAGAAAGGAGCCTTAAATAGTGACTGCACTGATCACATGGACTGACCATTAACAGCAACTTTCATGGATGTACCTGTTAGGAATGACTTGATAATTAAGGAAACATTTCATGAGATTCCAAAACTGGAAAGTTTGTGTAACAACTCGCTATGCAATACCTTGTGAATAGTCTTTAATATATCAAGGGCAATTATTCTTTACTGTCTAGCACTTCACTGACTTTAGGTGTAATGATAGTTAGGACATTAGCAGTGGACCTAGAATGGTGAAATTCATATTGTTTGTCCCTCAGGAGGTTGTTCTTGTTGATCAGGGACTCAGAGTTGTTGATGACACTAAGGCTGAACAGTCTTGAAAACAGGATATACATCTGGCACCTCCACTGACTTGGGAAGCATTTCTCCTGGTAACAGTTAAAGAATTTAGCCACAATTGGTGATAGTTCTGGGTTAATGTTCTTAGAGCAAAGGCTTTTGTTAAGTATGAAAAATACTCATGCCATGATACAGATATTACATTTTGTGAGGGATGTGGTAAATTGCGTAGGGGATAGCCCTTTTTGTCCAACTTGGAGTTAGAGGCACACTTCATTGCTAAGAAGCCTGGACTTATTTGACTAGGATCAAATAATCCCAGGGTGATTTATGATAGTAGGCACTAATGATTTGCCTCTATTGAGAACTTAATTTTGAATCTTCTAGGACAACAAAACCCAAGTTTCATGACCTTGGTGACCACTCAACAAGACCTCTCCAATCTACCCATTTACCCATACGGGGGACGATTTTTGCCACACCCTATACACACACATACAGATACAGTTTACACAGATATTTCACAGTCAGGAATCTCTAGACAAAATATTAGTTTGTTTTGCACATATATTCAAATTATAACAATTTCACTACTGCATATATATATATATATATATATATATATATATATATATAAACTGATACTTCTCTACAGAAGAACGCAATCTCTTCAACATGAAACTGAGCCACTGTATGATTTTGTACAGTCTTGAAAAAGACATTCCCTTTATGCACTTTCCTGTATCGCTTCAACCTGGCATCAGATCTGCACATTTATTCACAAACATGAAATAAGTGCAGGTCTATCAGGAAGAACATTCACATACTCATCATTAGACTGCTGATTTTCATGTGATATTCAATGATGAGCAAATCCAGCACAAGAAGTTACATACAACCTCTTTCTTTTTTTGTCACTATATATATATATATATATATATATATATATGTAGAAATATGTGAATATTGAAGTCAACACTCAGGTGACAAGCTGTTTCATGCTAGATGCAGTCATCAGGCCACAAGTGTTGGATTTTTCCTCGACTGTTTATATATATGGGTCAGTGGTGCATTGTGGGTAATCCATTCTGGCAGTTATTTTGATGGGAGTGGCTTATTTATTTAATTTATTTTACTTGTTTTTTATTTCCATTTTTTATTTTATATATTTATTTATTCTTTTCAGGTTTCTATGTTTTATAAACGTGGTAAAAAAACTTGGGGATTTGCTTAGGTTGCTTATTATACTTATTTATGTTTATTTTATTAGTTCTTATATATATATATATATATATATATATATATATATATATATAAGGATACAGAACAAATAGGAAACATTGATCAATCTCAGATATTTCACTTTTATTCAAACTTCATATTGATAAACATTTCCTATTTATTATTTATCATCCTGTCAGATTGTGATTTATATTTTATTCTAACTTATATATTAAATATACATTTTATATTTAGCTAAAATTCTGTTAATAACTACATATCCTCAACCAGTTTTATTGACCCACTCTTTTGAGTTTTCCTTTCACAGACATGCTACCAAAAGTTACAACAGGTGCACACACACACATACATACACAGAGTAAATTTTTGCTGAGCTGAGAGGTTTTAAGTACCACCTAATACAATTTCTCCTTAACTAAATTTACAATTTATTTTGCTTTATTAGAAGTATTTTTATTCATTATGCAACATATTCCAATTGAATAAAACATTGGTTACATACAAGACATAGACATTTAGGCAAACCAGTTGTGAAAGAACAGAATCACCTTTTTAAGTCAGGTTGTTTTTTTAATACAAATCTATTTAGAAGGGTGGCTCTCTCTCTCTATATATATATATATGTGTGTGCATTAAAACTGCTTCACAAGTCAAATCCATGTGAAGTTTGAACAGAACAAAAATAAAATTAATAAAAAAGATTTTTTCCCTTATCTCATTCTCTGATGAAACTTTAATAAAAGTGAAACATTCAAAATTTATAAACATTTCCTATTTTGTTCTGTCAGATTCTGATGTAGAAGTTTTCAGCTGTTATTGCACAGAGATATAAGAAAAACATACTATATTTATGGCTAAAATTGTACATTTCAGAAATAGAGCATATTTAAACATAAAAGTAAATACTGAAGTCATTACCAAGCAGCAACAGTATTTCATGCTTGGATGCAATTGTCAGGTCATATTATATATATATATATATATATAGGTAATAATCCATTGATATATAATCCAAGTGAATCCTAATAATACAATATAAAATATTAAAGATTAAAACTGATTCATACACAGAACTCAATGTTTTAATTAAACAGAGCAACATATTTTAAACAATAGGAATTAAGATTACATTATGTTAATGAGCATATTTTCACCCTTTTTTCCCCAATAATTCATCATCCATTGACTAGTTTTAAAAATCCTTGTAAATTTTTTTTCAAATCACAAGGTGAAAATGATCATTAACCTAATGTAATCTTAATTTCTATTGTTTGAAATTATATATATATATATATATATATATATAATTTGTGCATACACTTGTAATGACCAATTAGCAATATCTTTTTTTTCATCAAGTTTCCAAACACAAGCCGCATCAACATAGTTTTTAAATACCAAAAACAATGATAAATTTTAAAGTTATTTTATTCAAAGCTTTTATTTATTTTTTTCAATATTCTAAATTGTGAATTTTTCTTGATTTATTAGCTAACAAGTGTCCCCAACTTTGGACTGAGAGTTTTTCACCCTAGACTTTACCAGTACCAATTATCTGCCAAATTGACTCCTCAGGCTAAACGAAAAACTAAAAATCTATCTTAAATTCTACATTCTATAATTCATAAATGTAACCAGATAGAATTCTTAATTTCTTTGTTTAACTTAATCAATAAAAATAAAAAAAAAATAAAATAAAAAAAAAAATTCAAAATCTGTTCAAAAATAATTCTTCTGATATTTTTTCAGATTTTAGGAAGAGGGTTGGACTGAGAACTTTTCAGTACTATATCATAAACATGTGATATGAGGCAAGGTTATCAAGACTTGTGAGAAGTAGATGTGGGGGTGAAAACAAATTCTCCTTATAAAAGCAATTTTACAACAACAAATCAAGATCATTGGAATCTTTGGTAA